TGGGGGGATGACTTGGTCCCTGCTCAGAAAAATGGAGGCAAAGAAATTGTTAAATAGGTTAGCTTTGTCATCTGGTGAGACCACCAGATTTCCTAGCATGTCCTGCAGAGGCCCCACGTTACCCGGAACCTTCTTTTTACCCGCTATGTATTTAAAAAAGGATTTCTTGTTATCCTTGATCCTAAAATTAGTGCAGCTTAACTGACTCAGGGGTTGTCTAAATGAAAAAAATAGTAAGCATCAAATTAGGGTGTGAATTTACATCATACTTTTTGCTCCATATTAATGCCCACATAGATACTCACCCAGTACCAGCTTTGAATATACTAATCTGCATACCAAAGTCTACACAGCACAAAGCAGCACTCGGCAGAGATACTTGTGCTTGCTCTTCATGGGCTAGTACTGGAACCAGAAGCAATATAGCCATATTAGCATGGCACTACTCCAAGGATAATAAGTCTTGATTTTTGGCTGAGCTAATTAGTGCAGGTGCATTTTCCCCTGCTTTAGAAGCGGAATTACTCTTTATTTATGCTGATGTAAGTGAGAGAATTAGGCACTGAGTAACGTTCATTCTTCTATGGCAATACCACTCACCTGCTACACCCTTGGAGGAATGTCCTTTACAACTGCCTGCCTGTCTTAATTCATAGGACTGAGAGTCCTTGACTGCCTTTTGGTAGAATTCCACAGGAATTGCCAAACTAATTTAAGGAGTTACACACCTTCCTTTTAACATTTTTACTTTATTTCCAAATGTATTGGTCATATTAGAGTAAAAATGCATGAAAGGTAAAACCAAAGGACATATGAGACAACAAATATCTGATATATGTCAAATTATCTCTCTGGTGATAGCAGTCCAGAAGGGATGGTATAAATCAAAGTAAGTCCTGGAAAGAAAGTTTTTAATTCTAAGGGAGGCAACTTCTGTAGTAGGTAAGGAGAAAAATATTTACAAGGTTAAACTAGAATATATTGCTACCCTGCACCTAGAAATAAAACCATGTAAATAATGTATTAACATGACTGCATTGTAGTAATGTATAATAGAACAGTGAAGGAAAAAGACTAATTTTTCTTCCAGTGTCCCATATTTCAGCTCCACAATACCAATCAAAATGACCAGCATAATTGGAGTGGGATCTCTACAGTGACACATATAATATAAACTTAGGAGCCTAAATAAACTTAGGACCCAATATCCAAAGGTCATGAATATCTGCAGGTCTCAAAGAAATCAAGTTTTAACTAATTCCTTCAGTATTCTGGACTCATCTACACATGCCCTGTCTTGGAGCATGGTGTCTCTAACCCCCTGATCCTCTTCTCAGCTTTCCGCATTCTCTAGTGATTATCGTTTTGTGTCATAATATCTGAAAACTGGAGCCAAGGGAGAGTTTCCAGGGATTTTCAGAAAGGCATGACCAGGAAACGAACTCCTTTGCTTTCTGGCCAGCATTTGGGGGTGAACTGGGTAGGGTTGAGGAAAGCACTTGTATAGAAAACCAGAGGAGAAACATAGTATGATGCAGCAGAAATGCAACATCTCAGATACAATCCTTGACAAGATTACAGCATTTTGCAAAGATGCTTGGTACTGACACATCCCATTATTGCTTAAGCATGGGCAGGTGCAGTAGGGGCATTCATTTTCACATGCACTACTTTTCCATTAGGAGGAGGAAGGACTCTCTGTGGCTAGAACCTTCCTTCACAGCAAGGTTTCCAGGTTCAGTTGTCATACAACCATCAGTCTTCACATGGACATCCACAGTGTTCCCAACACAAGGGTTTTGGTTCAAAGCTGCTGCTAGTCATTTATCTTAAACATACAGCTACTTAATGCTACTTTTAAAACTTGAGACATAGGAGCTCATTGCCATGCTGTTCTGACATTCTCAAGTGGTTTAAGTGTCTCTTCTGCTTGCTAGTCTCCAACATGTCCAGCCTATATCTAGCTGCTACCCAGATTCTATACCAGGTTGTTTTGTAAGGTATATAAAAAGCCCACTTCAGGCTATTTAAAGTCTTCTCTGTCTTTTTCAGGTTTTCTTTGGAGTCTTAATAGGTGCTTTAAATCTCGGTCAAGCTTCTCCTTGTTTGGAGGCTTTTGCCACTGGACGTGGGGCTGCAACAGGCATCTTTGAGACAATAGATGAAGTAAGTAATGAACTTCTTGAGCTCTCAGTCAGCTGTGAAAAATAATTAGATAAGCTTCAAGCACCGTAGTCTTTGTCAACAATATTAATGAAAAAATATGAGGATAATTAAGGAAAAAATTACTGCAATAAAAAATATGCAGCTGCACGCACAGAAATTTATAGTGCCCCTAATCAACTCTGCAAGTGGGGTTTACACTAGCACAAACACTAATATTTATTCCTACTTTTTCATAAGTACAGTTCACAGTCAACCAGGAATTAAAGCCAAAGGCACAGTGGAGGGTGTTAATCCTGTAGTCAGAGCTCAGGCCAGATCTCCAGCTGGCATAAATGGATGCAGCTTGACCAATGTCACTGGGCCATGCAGCCTCCAGCATATGACGATCTTTCTCTCTCAGCATTTTTTTCAGTTTAGACAAGAAAGGAAAACCCAAATGCAGACAAAGACTTGGCCTGCAGCTTCTATAAACATCCTTTACCAAACTGAAAGCATTTGATTAAATCCTTTTAATTAGGCTGCAGAGAAATTGTTGAGGGCTGGGAGTTATTGCTAGATATTTTTAGCAACCATTTATATTAGTTTATATGTGTTTAGTTACCACAGAGGCATCAAGGCCTGATCCAAAAGCCAAAGACTTTGAATTCAGCTAAAAGGGCATAGGAGAAAGATCTACAGATATTCTTCTAAATTCAAATAAATGATTTTTCAGAAGCTATTCAAAAGACAAATCACATTTACAAAGGTAATGTAAGCACCTAAGCACAGATCCTCAGAAGTATTTAGGCATCTGTTTCCTATTGATTTAAATAGGAATGTGATGAAATCTAGTAATATCAAAGGGAATTAAGTACTTAAGTACTTTGAAGCAGGAGTGGTAAACTCCTAGACTGCAGGGCTCTAAGCAGGTTGGATCCAGACCCAACTCCAGCGGCAGGGTGAGTGGCAGTTTCATTAGCTGTCACAGATTCGTAAGCCACAGGGATTAACACACCCATTACTCACTCCTCCAAAGCCAACACCCAACTGTATTCCATATGCAGGAATTCAGTGGTGGACTCCACCTTTCACTTTCCAGCTCCTGCAGGAGCCCCACAAGCTTAATCTGGCCAGGAAGCCTTATGTTTAACACACCTACTTTAGAGAATCTAGGCTTCTGGCACCTCAGTCTCAAAGAAAGCCATGTCAGTTTACACTTTCAAATTTTATGTTTCACAATAGTAAAATGTTTTGGAGGAAAATAATAAGTTCTTCCCTGACACTTTCAGAGCCAAAACAGCTCATCTAACCCACCTCGAAGCATCTATTTCTTGGGTACAGAACATATAGCCCATTTGGTAGATAAAATTTACTCTTATTCTTATTGTATTTCTCAGTATTCATAGTTTCATAGTTTCAAAGTAGCTTG